GGGTTGCAAGTGCCTCTGCTCAACTGCATCTTCCTAGTAATGTTCCAAAAGAGTGTCATTCTCATCTAAATGACGTCATCATCCCTTCTAGATATTCTTGAATTATTAAATGATGAATACAATTAAGGAGGGAAAGATCATCTTCAATCTGTCTCCCATCAATAAGAGAAGGCTCAAGTGGACATTGGCGCCATGGGTATGCTGGTTTATGGGTCTGACACCTTGCATGGACCATTACAAACCCCTATGAGAGCCTTAAGCTCCCTCTTCAATTGAACTGAAAGATGACTAAAAACCCCACTCCGGCAGAGGACTCCCGATTGGCTGGCCATTTGAGAATGCTCAAGGGGGTCGTTTCCACAGCTGAGGCTTGTAGTAACTCATGCTGTTTTCCTGAGCAGTAGAAGGCATCTGACAATAGCTCAGGCCAATTTATGCACATGGATAACTCTGTCCCATTCTCAATCCAAATTTGCCTTTCTCTTCCATACAAAGTGGAGAGAGTGTACATGTTTGTTTGCTTAGAAAACAAGAAAAGATTAACATCCGTGCAATGAAAAGAATGGCCAACAAGCTGGCCCAGTCCACTTGTTGTTGTTAAATGCTGTCGAGTTGGTTCCGACTCATGGCAACCCTGTATAGCATGGCTGAAACTTGTCAGAAAATAAGGTGCCTAAACAGGTCAGCTAGAAGTAGATGTGAAGGAAAGGCACATCAGATGGGGAAATAAAGGCATGTGCAAAGGCACTGAGGTTATGAGAAGCACAGCCCCCTACCCCACCCCCAGGCTGAAAGGATTTTAAGCAGGGGAATGACCAAACTGGATTTCATTCTTACAGAGGCCTCTTTCCCAGCAATATGAAGGCTGCGTTGGGAAGGAATCCAATTGGTGGCTAGGCAGCTGTATAATCTGTGGAGATAAAAAGGTCACTATGTGCCTGGAGGTGGAGGAGCAAGTTGGGGAGAGACTAAAAATGGGTACAAGGACATTTTTGAAAGTGGTAGAAATGCTTTAAAATTGGATCATGGTGATGGTTGTGTAACAGTGAATTTTAAGGAATTATACATTTGATAGAAGTAAATTTAATGTGTATAAATGATACTTTAGCAGAGTTGCAGGGGATGGGAAAATTTGCAAAGATAGCAAAGTATCCAAGACATGAATAGGTGAGGTCTTGAAACAGGCACTAGAGATTTAGAATCAGCTATGGAGAGTGGGTGGAGGAGAGAAAAGGGTACAAGGTGGCTACTGGGGTGTGCAGGGACCAAGAGGAGATTTGAGGTACCTGTGGTATATACAACAGGGTTTCTCAAACTTGGCATTATTGACCTTTTGGGCTAGATCATCCTTATAGAGACTGTGCTGAGCATTGTGGTATGTGTAGCATCCCTGGCTTCTACCTGTGGATGACAGTGGTAAACCCTCCCAGTGTGACAATGGAAAATGTCTCCAGACAGTATCACTGTCTCCTGGGGGGGGCACAACCACTGAGCTACACAGAAAAATCTCATCTTTTTTTAAAAATTAAGATACAATTCTCACATCATAAATTCACCATTCTGAAGTGTGGAATAGATGAGTTTTAACACATTCACCAAGTGGAACAACTCTCCCCACTATTTCATTCCGGAACATTTTAATCATCCCCAAAAGAAACTCTATGCCCATTAGCAGTTATTCCTCATTGCCCTCTTACCTCTCAACCTCTGGCAACCACAAATGTACCTTCTCTCTCTCTGGGTTGCCAATTCTAGACATTCAGTATGTGGCCTTTTATGTGTGGCTTCTTTCAGTTAGCAAACTTTCAAGGTTCATCTATCTTGTAGCATGTATGGGTGTTGCTAGTTTCTGAAAATGGCCTGAACACTCAAGGGGGGCTTTAGTTTTATAAAACAGCCAGGCAACACTTAAACATGTATAGATGAGTTGGGAGTAACCAACTTATCACCTTGGCAAAACGCCTCACAAAGGGAAGGGGCCTGCTGAGACCTTGGAACTAACCAATGGCCCCTCCCCACTTTCAGAGGCCTGATGTTTGTCCATGTAGTGTATCACATGGGTTTAGAGCCTACAAATGGTTGGGTGAGGGACCTCGGGGTCCCTCAGCTATGGTGTCTGTTAGCACGTATAGCAGAACGTCTCAGTCTTCTTAAGCCTACTTGGCTAGGAGGGGACCAGCAGAAGGCAGGCCCCATTACCAGGAAGAGGCATGAATGGATCAGTATCTCCACTACAACAGCTTCCAGAAATCAGGGCCAACAGCAGGTTATCAAAAGGTAGCTTTCCATGTGTTAATACCAGAGTCCTGGTGTGGTGCTGTAGAACAAACAGTGGACTGCTAATCACAAGGTTTGCAGTTTATACACACTGGCTGCTCCTGGAAAACCTCATACAGTATCACTATGAGTCAGAAGCAACTGGACAGCACTTATAACAACAATGTGGACATGTTCCAGTGCATGGTAGTCAGCGGAATCCCGTTTAGTGACAGGTCCCCTTTTCCTAGTGGCTTCCTGGCGCTTTAAAGATCTGGGACAAATGGTATCTTACAATTTTATCAGTTCATTAGTTAATGGACATTTGAGTTGTTTATGATTTTTATTATGAATAATGCTGTTATCAACATTCAGTACAGCAGGCATATTTTCATTTATCTGATGATTTACCTAGGAGTGAAATTGCTGAGTCATAAGGCTAAATGTGAAAGGCTTTGGTGGTGCAGTGGTTAACTGCACACAGCATCCAGAGCGATCTTTTTAATGGGTCAGCTTGCATCAATCCCCAGACCAAATCCTCCGTTAGTTGGCTGTGAGTTTACATTGTTTACAATACAGCTGTCGTAAGTCCCTATTTGTGTCCACACTGACTCTGGGCTTGGAGAGGTGACTTGCTTTGACTCCACTGGACAATACAAACACAACAAGCAGGGGCTTAAAAAAGACTTGTACACGTGGATTGATACTACTATGTTTCCGCTGGGAACTCTTCTGCCACATGGGAACAAACTGGGGCTAGCCTCCTGGTAGGAGTGAGCAGGTGGAAGGAAGCCCCAACATTCCAGGTGTCACAGTTAAGCCAGACCCTTTAGCTCCAAATGAGTTGGCCCCCGTCAGCTCCTGCCATTTCACTTAGGGCCTCCTTGCCGCTCCCCATATTTATTTGGTAATATCCAGCTCACGGCCTTTTTTAATACTTTAGAAGTGAGGTGGTAAGACTTTGTCTCATGTACTTGAGACATGTTATCAGGAGGGAATGGAGAAGGATATCATGTTTGGTCGAGAGGGTCAGAGAAAAGGGGAAAGATCCTTAGCAACATGGACTGACCAAGTGCCTGCAACAATGGGCCGTTCTGTACTAGTGTGAGGCTGGTGCAGGGCTGGGCAAGGCTACCTTTTGGTGCGCAGGGGGTCGCTATGAGTTGGAACCACCTTAACAGAACCTAACAACGCCCGCAATGCTTTCCTTAGATTCCTACATGGCTTGCTCCCTCACTTCCCGATCTCTGCTCAAATGCCACCATACCAGACAGAAATTCCCTTACACCCTAATAAATACCATCTACTCCCTAGCCATTCCATGCATCCTGCTTTGTTTTTCTTTTTACCTCGAAGTATTATTTATTTCCTGTTTAATACCAGCTCCCCCCACTACACACACACACATTCTCTTCCACATCATACATCAAAATTCAAGCTCTACAAAGGTAAGAATTTTGTCTGTCTTATTTATCACTGTATCCCCAGCATTTAAAATAGTGCTTTGTGGTGACTGTTTTTGCTTTTAATCACTAGGGAAATAGGAACGGTATTTGTCAGATTTGATAGCTAAATCTATCACCTGGAATGCTTATAGGGACTGAGGCTGGGAAAGAGGCAATAGTGTTCTATTTGAGGGGGCAGGCTACACTCAGCCAAGTACTGGTATGGCGCTGCAGGATAATGCACTGGACTGCAAGGTTGGTTTGAACTGCAAGGTCGGCAGTTGGAAACCCTATACAGGGGCCCTATGAGACGGAATCGACTCGACGACACTTAACAATAACAAGTTATACTCAATACAGATTGAATTCCTTTACCTCCACAAGCTAGGACTGACTCATCCAAATGCCAATGAAGGATTCAAGTAGCAGGAAGTTGGCTTCCACGGGCCAGCTCAGAGCTCTGTTCCTTTAGACTTCCCCTTCCTTCCCCTGCTTCTCCTGTAAGTCTGGAACGCTAGTTTGTCAGATTATTTGATTGTTCTCCAGATGAATGGAAAGAAACAAACACTCCAAGAAAGTATTATCAGTATAGAAATTTATTTGAATTCAAAATAATATGGTTATATTTAGAATGTAATAATCATCTAAAGTAAATATTATCATTGGCTCTGGTGCAGGTGTAAAGAAGTCATTCTTTTAAAGACTAAAAATATGTAGTGAGAATGTGCAAGGAAGCAAAAATATTTTTAAAAACAAATAGATTTACTGAGTACTGGGAATTGTAACAAGGGGGATACACACTCTAAGATATTGTAACTGAGTCCAAATTATAAAAGTTGGAGCAACACGTTCTCCTGCTTTATCAACTCCCAGGAAAACGACTCAGCTACCTCGGTAATGTCAGAATACCAGCACCTGGGCAACAGGACAGACCTCCGGAGACATGCAAGGAGCAATTCACTACGCTTCCTTATTCTAACATCTCTCCTAACACAAATTTATTTTCTCTCCTTTAAGATGGATTTCATTGAGTTGAAAAACATATTTGGTTTTATTTATAAAGTGGAGTAAATAATATCCTGACTGAAGTATCCAACAATATATCTGAATATGCTCAGGGGTCAAATATTTTTTTAAAAAGGTGTATCAGCCAGTTATAGCAGAGCCCATCAGCACCAGTGGCTTGAGGGAAAAACAAAATTCAGATAAATATGCTTGCTAAATACCCTAAAAGTAGCAGTTAAAAATGCATGGAAAAATCCTAGGATTTACTATACAATTAAAAGCAGACACGTGACCTTTGATTAAACCCATTTGGCTTATGGAGTGACCTATAAGGAGGCTCCAAGATAGAGTCTGGTTTCCAACAGCGCCCACAGCCGAAGGGCAAATTCAGAGGGTCTCCTCCTCTCGGAGAAACTGGAACACAGATGAGAAGTCTTTCTTTGAGTAGCCCTTTGCACACATCACCCTGTAGACCTGATGGGCCAGGCTTCCCAGAAGGATTGGGGTCTTTGTGTTGGTAGCAGAGTCTTGTGCTAATCCCAGGTCCTAGATCAAACAAAGAAGAGGAGGGAACACATTGAGACTGACAGTTGAGGCTCCCTCTGGTACTGTGGTTCCTAATGCTTTGGTTTCAAAGAAGGAAATCTGAAGTCTGATAAAATAAGATATAAGTATATAGTAAGTTATGCTGTTTCAGTAAATACTTTCCTATAGTATTTACTGAATACTGCTCCAATCCAAAATTGCTCCAGACAGAAACCTTGATTTCTGAGTGCCCCATTCCCATGTACCACAAGAGCAGGGTTATTGTACAGGTGGGGTTACACACTGGTGTCTTTTTCAAATCTGTGGAAGACAATAAGGAATTATGAAGAGATCTCGTTCAATCTCTTATCTGACTGACATACATTAAAAGCAACTACTGTGTGACGAGCACTGTTTAATCTCAATCAAATCACTACTCTGATGAAGCTGACTATTCCGAGGAGAAGACAGACAAAAACACAAATCAGTGCTATGAAAAATAAAGCTTGGCAAGGGGTTAGTAACTAATGGTTAGCAAGAGAAGGGCTGTGGGGAGATTATGATAAAGGAAATGTTTAAGTAAAACCTCTCTAAGTCAAAGTCATGTGAGCCACGAGCAGAATGTTCGGAAGGAGTGCCTTTTTTGAAAGAGAGTTTCTGGCAGACAGAATAGCAAGGTAGGGGCCCTATGGTGGCACAAAACTTATCAATATTCAAGAAATAAGGTGGCCAATGAGGCTGAACTGGAGTGAGAAAAGGAGTTGAGGGGTGGAAATAAACCTGGGCTGAGAAGAGGGGTTCACAGAAAGTTTTATATGCCATGACAGGGGGTGTGCCTTTGATTCCAGGTGCCAAGGGCTGAAATCTGCACAACTCACAAGGTTTCAGAGCTAAAGCTTCATTTAGAGAAAGAGGGTCAGGAAACTTACGGCTGTTTATAAACAGACAAAAATCTTTAAGTCTATTATATGTAAAATGTAGCAAATGAATATCCACTACCATAAAACTAGGCGTTCTAGTGTGGCACTGTGGGATAAAGCACTGGATTGCAAAGTCGGTGTGAACCACAAGGTCGGGGTTCAATCTCACCAACTGCTGCTCGGAAACCCTACAAGATGGCACTTAACAACAACAACCATAAAACTGGAGTTAGGTCCAAACTTGAAAGATCTGGAGTAAACAGAGGTCTGTGAAGGCATGGATAATTGAAGGAATGTTCCCCACATTTCATTTTATTTGTAAGTAAGTGTAAACAGCTGTAAAGACGTGGCAAACCATCTAGATTTACTTACCATTACCACACATCTCATTTCCCCATCAGTGGAAAAGTAAACAAGCAATGAAGAAGGAGGACAAGAAGCAAAATGAGAATTGTTTCTACCCTTTGAAGACCATCCCTGATAACTGAGTATTTACTGATAGCATGCATCCAAAGAAAAAATAAACCAAGCATCAAGACTGATTTCAATCTGTAGCCTCTTGAGTATGCATGGTCCAGGTATTAGTGTGTAGTACTGTGTAATTTTCACATGTAAACAGATTTAGAAAATACACTTAACCATACATTTATCAACAGCTTCTACTAAGCAGCTGCTCATACCGTCCAGTCCATGTGGACAACTACATTACTGTTCATAGCACAAGTAGACAAACCTCCTTAGTTGAGATCATTTTGCAGCACATCTGCCAAATGCATTTATTTTTAAATGGCAGAAATCTACACAGAAAGACTGTGCTTAATATTTAACCTAGTAATTTAACTAGACTATAAGAACACAGACTAAACATAATTTACTGAGAAAAAAACAACACTATCTAAAAGAAGAAGGGTCTATTAGGGTTTTTCAGAAGGGTGAATATATATCCCAAATAAGAAAGAGCTAACAAAACCAAAAAGTAACTCTGAATCTTAAAGGACAGGCATTCTATAGAAAGACTAGCCATTGGCCAGAGTAGTTTATCAATCCTAGAATATTAGAAAAAGGAACCATTTGACACTTACAATATGTCATTAAAAAAATAAACAAACATTCTACTTCACTAGCCAGCTAAAATGTTTATGAATTCATTAGCTCAGTGGGTAGTTCAGGAAAAAATACAAAACCATTACAAAAAGGTTTCGATGAATTAAGGGAGGACCTTTTACAAGGAAAGGAATTTGGGGGAGTGAACATTGATACTAAGGAGCTCTGGTAGCGTAGTGGTTACGAATCGGGCTGCGAACCGCAAGGTCAGCAGTTCGAAACTACCAGCTGCTCCGCAGGAGAAAGATGAGGCATTCTGCTCCCGCAAAGATTTACAGCCTCGGAAACCCTGTGCAGGGTCACTATGAGTCGGAACCGACTCCACGGCACACAACAACAACAACATTGTCCTGGGGTGGTGCTGTGGGTTAATGTGCTGGACTAAAATGTCGGTTTGAACCACAAGGTCAGCAGTTCAAGCTAACCAGCTGCTCCTTGGAAACCCTATACAGGGTTGCTATGGGTTGGAAGCGACTGAAGGCACTTAACAGCAACAACACTGACAATGGAAAAGTCATCACACCTTCCCACCAGCTGCTCCTTGGTGCTTATGAGAAACAACGCTTCTAGGTTGGAGAGTTTAGAAGAATGGTCTAGGTTTTGTGTTGATTAATGTTCTGATTATATACACATACCATATGTTAAATTTCTATAATGTTAAAGCCTAGAAATAAATGCATAAGATTCAATTTACATGTAGTGCTAATGTCATATCCTCTATGCACAATAAGAGATTTAATAGCAATTAAGCAAAATATCTCTTAATAAGTAAACCCTGATCTGCTCAAGCTGGTACAATTGCTTTAATCAATGTCGTATTGATAGAGATTTCTGTAATCTCTGCAAATGTCTTGAGACCAAAGCTCATTAACTATGGTGGTCCTTGCTAATAGCTAACTGAGGTGATAAAAGATTTTTAAAACTCCTTTTCCAAGTAAAGTAAGTTCCTTTTTCAGTCTAAGCAAAATTAATAAGTCTTCTTTATAAGGACGATGACAAATTCATTTCATAGAGGTAGTGAGAGTAAAAGAGAACCGTAATAGCCACACTTTTTACTACTGCACTGGCTTCAAGTATTTGTTGAAAAGACTATCTTTTAATATTAAAACAAAAAAAAACAATCATAAAGGAAGGCTCCATAAGAGTACCATGTATCCCTGTGGGCCCAAGCGTTGCTGACCGTCCAAACCATAGGCTCTGAGGATCAGACTTTAGCCAACTAGCAGACATAGCAAAATGTCCCTTATCTGATATGCTGGTTAGTAATTCCATACATGAGCCCTGGATACCCACAGATAAATGTAAAAACCTTCCCTAAAAGCCGAGACTATAAATTCCAAAAAGGCAAAGTTTCCCCCCCCCAAAAAAAAGCTAAAGAGGATAGAGAGAAACTCTGTTTACTGATGGTATGTGGAGGGGATTATAATCAATGTAATGAAATAAGGTATATGAATGTTTGAAAGTGAAACCGATGATGTGCCCTGAAAACTTTCACTCAATCCACAATAAAAACCTTAAAAAAAAGAGTACCATGTAAATGGGGTTAGGGTAAGGTGCTGGCAGTGGAAAAGGAAGGAAGTGGATGAATTCAAAGTATATTCAGGCACTAGAATGGGCAGAATGTCATGAGGCCTGAGCTGATTAAACCAAATGTGGTACGTGGATGTGTGTATTATTAGTTGTATAATTAGGAAAACAAAATCAATTGTGGAAGATAAGCTCTACATAGAAATCTAAGACTGCATAAACAGTCTTTTCGAAATTAAGATCACAACTGCGCTCCACAAAAGGTCAATACCTCACTTTCCAAATAACTTCACTAATTCACACATAAATCCATATATAGCCTTACAGCATGAAGGTGTGTTTGGAAATCTAGTAGTATTTCGGGGATAAAAAAACGTTCTTTCTCCTGTGATGTGTATATATTGAATGCATGGTCAACAAATTAGAAACCTTATTGTTCCCATTAGAAGGATTTGACAAATTAACGTAAGTTTATGGTGAAAAAAAAATTACTAATATTATAAACAAACCTAAGACCAAAGGAAAAAATCCTAGCCCACTTTTTTCATCCAAAAGGGTAGGTATGAAAACAAGTAAGATGAGGATTTTTATCTAAACAAAACTTTTACTCATGTCTACTGAGTGAGTAAAACATAGACAGTAAATAAGGAAGACCGTAGAAGAATCCATGCACTTGAATTATGGTGTGGGGGGAAGAATACTGAAAGTACCATGGACTGTCAGAAGAACAAATGCGTCTTGGAAGAAGTACAACAAGAATATTCCTTAGAGGTCAGGATGGTGAACTCTCTCATTCTTTGGTCATGGTCCCTGGAGAAGGACATCATGCTTGGTACAGTGGAGAGTCAGCAAAAAAGAGGAAGAGCTCCAAAGAGATGGAATTGACACAGTGGTAGCAACAATAGATTCAAACACGGTAACACTTGTGAGGACTGAGCAGTGTTTATTTAGTTCTGCTGTGCACACTCTCTATGAATTGAAACCAACTTGATGGCGCTTAACAGTAAGTGAATCCCTATACTAGTAATCTTGCCATTCAGAATAGATATATGCTGAGTCAGATATGAGAAAAGCAAGGAAAGATAAGGTAGGTCAGTACATGTTTTCTCTACTCTCTGCATTTACCATACCTTAGCCATGAGTGTTGTTCCAAATCCTCCCTGGTAGTTATTAGCTGAGGGGACACCATCCATCACCCCAGGTACAGGATTGTAAGTGTCACTTGACCAACATCGTCCTGAACTCATATTTAGGATTTTAGCCAATAGTTTTGGGTCAAGTCCTAGCCTGTCAAAGGTCAAAGAAAAGAAGTATTTAATGTCAAAATGCACAAGTCAGACATGATTTACTTACATATGAGGATCTCTACTTCCTCTCTCCGTTTATTATATTTCTTCAAAAATCAGCGTGAATTCATATAAGAGTAAAGAATCTATCCTTAAATTAAAGGGTATCAAAAGCTACTGATGAAACAAGATAATTTCCCAAGCAGGTCACTTTTCCATGGAAAAACCCTTCTGTAGTATCCTACTTTTAAGAAGAAATAGTCCACTTCCACAGTTGGATAAAAGTGTTGCCGTTTTATCACACTCATGAGGTTTTCTAGTCTTTTGGACATTATTGCATTTATGTGTCACATAAGAACCTTAAACCAATCTGACAGACTACGTTCTACACGCTTCACTTTCGAATGCTATATTTCAAAAAGGAATAATCAATAGACAAATGATGCATCATGGGAGTCCATGTGGGTGCATTTATACGTAGGCTTGTTCCTTTAGATTTTATGAGAACAAATGCAAGAGATGAGCCATGAGCAGTAAAAAGAGCTGAGAAGTTATCATTGTAAAAGAAGGCATTTCTTGCTGCAAACTTTTCCTTATTTATTAAATCTTCATTAGATAATCTTGCTTATGAAGCAAGTCTGCACAGAGTTGTGACATATGCTATCTATTCAGAGACATGCATTATAGTTCTGGGTCAACTGCTGATAAGGTTACTGATCCTGATAAAACAAAACTTGCCCAAGCGGAAACATCATTTGTTCTATCACTGAGCTGATGGCATAAACGGCTGTTCAATGTGGATCCAGGGGGGAAAAAAAAGGAATCAAAATGCCCTATTACTTTGATCCTAAGTATTTTAATGCAGTTTTGGTGAGCACAGTTTTTCCAAGTATCACTGAATCAAATTTCATATAAAACTTCATACCCAGCAATTTATTGGTTTCTTTCATACAAAAATCTGTTATAAAAAAAATATTGTCGTAAAAGCTTTTTGCTTTTTCTTAAACCAATGTCTTAGAGAAAAAATATATACGTATAGAAAACAGATATTTGTAAAGTGTTAAACAAAGTGTTTATTTTGGCATGCTTATGTTCTTGCTCTGGTAGTGTAGTGGTTACGAATTGGGCTGTTAACCTCAGGGTCAGCAGTTCGAAACTACCAGCTGTTCCACAGGAGAAAGATGAGGCTTTCTGCTCCTGTAAAGATTTACAGCCTCAGAAACCCTCACTATGAGTTGGAACCAACTCCACGGTACTTAACAACAACAACATGTTCTTGCTTACTTTGTGTCTCTGAAATAGATGCCTATTTGTTCCAAAATCTGAGTATTTATCATGTCCAGTGAAACATTTTCCTAATGTCAGGGCAGCAGACTAGGGCTGTAACAGCTACAACATACATGGACTTACCAAGCAACGGGAGAGTCCTGTGTGGTGCTGAAGAATAAACACTGGACTGCTAAACACAAGGTCTGTGGTTCAAACACACTAGTCACTCCTCAGAAGGCCCGTATAGGATCACTATGAGTTGGAACCAACTCGACGGCACTTAACAACAACAATAACCAAGCCATACAAGCCTTTTGGAATAAGACTTTCAAGGGGGTAGCTGTGTGGTTTATGTGATACCATATGGCATGCTATAGATCTAAATGAATCTGATTTGGTTCTGTTATAATAAGGAGATTTTAGCTAAAAATTATACTCAAATATAAGATTCAATCTCAATCAGCTATCATACAGTCTTTTCAACTGTAGATTGCTGGAAAGAAATCCAACCATTTCATTTGTTCTTTTATAAACATGCAAGTTTCTTGCTGTGTAGTTTGGAGGATCACACAGGACCAGGCAGTGTTTCATTCCGTTGTGCATAGGGTCGCTATGGGTCGGAACCGACTTGATGGCACCTAACAACATCAACAGTTTGCTACAGGTGTTTCCTTTCCCTTTTAAATAAAATTAGACTTTCAGTATGCTGTTACAGCATGTGATTTCAGAAAAAGATAAAGCCAGTTGTTTAGAGAATAATTGTAGAAAGAAAAATTACAAATTAATAGTTAATTTGCTGTAACTAGAAGTAAATTCTCTGAGCATAAATGTTCAAGAACGTTAATACCTAATGTGCTCCAAGAGCAGGGAATATTTTTAGAGATCCCCAAACCTTGCTTTTCCCCTTCATATGAAAAAAGAAAAAAAAAAAATTGAGGGGCTTTCTAATGTGAAGTTTCTTTTAAAATGGCTCTTCATACTCTTCCCTTTACAACCTACCAGGTTAGACTCCGCAGTGCTTCTCAATGGTCTTTTTAACAAAGAAATTCATTCTCAGTCTATAATAGCTACCAAGATGGCAAACAAAGCTTATTATTCTAACTTTGTGAATCCTGACATTTTTCTTGAATGTTCAAGGAAAAATGCTGGCAATGATTTATGGAAAGCCTTTTGGGGGCACACACTGGGGGGCGCACCTAAAGCCAGGTGGCAGTTCTTCACCGCTCACTTTTCAAGTCTGGTGCTCTGCTCTGCCAAGCCAGTTCTCCTTAGGAGGTGGCTACCCCGGCTCCTCAGCTTCCTCCCCCTACCCTCTCCTACCCTGAAGCAAAGTGCATCATTAAAAAGAGCAAGTTAGAGTGTTTTGCATTTCATCTTTCTGAGGATTCTTTTCACTGGCACATATAGAACTGACAGTTAAAATGAGACATGATATTAAAATCAGTTACTGGAATGCTCTGTCTTCCACTGTGCCCAAGGCTTGTAATGGTCTGCAACCAGCTAGAATACACAGTAATTGTCATTCAGAGAGTCTATCCTAGAACGTCATGCTTCACTGGAGAAGACTGAGTTTCCATTTGAAATCAACAAATTAATCCAAGACAGGTATCTGAAAGGGCAAGTTTAATAGGAAGCAGCTACTGGGCTCTCAACCATGATAAAATGTTATTGCTGTTTCCCTGTAAATTGGCTGGGAACATATGATACTTTCTGCATAAGAGCCCCAGTGCTGCTCAGGAGATATACAGCTCAAGCCATCAAAAGGATGACAGTCTGTCAGTCCCCATAATAACTTGCCACTGGACGTTGTTCGAGAGTGAGATCATGCATCCATGTGACTTTACAATTGCTGGAATGTTCTCTGATATAAACAGAAAATGAATTCATTGCTCTGATTGCATATATTATGCAACTCAAATAAACGTCACTGTGTCAAATCTTCTCACCTTTAAAATACAAGAATCTTAAATGAGCTTTTAGGAAAGGTAAAGACGATGCACAAACTATAAATAATTAAAAGAATCAAAACATTCATATTCACTGTAACTGAGGCTTTAAGGGCAAAAAAGTTTGTTCATTTTTATATTCTCTATGACTATCTATATGGAGCTCTGGTGTGGCACTGTAGGATAAGCACTGGTCTGCCAACCACAAGATCGGGGCTTCAAACCCACCAGCTGCTCCTTGGAAACCCTGCACAGGGTCACTATGAGTCAGAACTTACTCAATGGCACTATAACAGCATCAACAATATCATAACTACCTATACCATCTGGTTCTACATAAGAACAAAGAAAATTAGATTACTAAACTGGAAACAAAACATCTAAGACCATGTCAACTTTAATAAATCGTTTACTTATACAACCAATGTTTACTAAGATCTGCTATGCTCAGGTGCTGTGCTTGGAGCTAAGGAGACCTGGAGAAACTAAGAGGCTGCCTGTGCTCCATGAGTGGGTGACATCAGAACATACCCAGATGGCTTTTACCCAGGGCAGAAGTGCATGCTCTTAGGTACTGGCTCCTTTCTCCAATCATCTGACTACTCTTCACTGCATGCTGCTAACTGCCAATTATGTTTCTAGGATACAGCAATGAAGAAAGTCATTCCCCTTCCTGCAGCTTGTGTTGGGAAGACAAGTAATAAGTAAGTAAGTAAATACATAATGCTAATAGAGTCCTGGTGTGGCGCTGTGGGTTAATGCACTTGACTGCAAAAAGCTGTTTGAACTACAAAGTCGGTGGTTCAAGCTCACCAGTCGCTCCTTGGAAACCCTATACAGGGTTGCTATGGTTCGGAACTGACTTGATGGCACTTAATAACAACAATGCCAGATAGTGAGAAGTGGAATGAAGAAAAAAAAAACATTAAAATACAATTCACCACTTCAAATGCCAACAACCACAACTGCAACACCATGAACCACACATTGAGTACCTAGGTGCCAAGAACAATTTAAAAAGATTTACATGGATTAATCAATTTAGTCTTCCCAGTTACCCTGTAGATTGATAATATTATTATTGTCTTTTTATAGATGAGGAAAAGGTAGCAGAGAGAAGTTGTCCAGGACTACAAAGCTTACATCTGTGGCAGAGTTAGGATACAGATCTAGGTAGGCCCCCACACCCTAGCCATTCAGACTCTCACTGAGTCATGTGGGTGGTAATCTTTCCATTCACCAGTCAATATGAAGGCATTTTAACAGTTTTGGTCAAATTTTTATTGCAAACGTTTTGCCATTTGTTAAGGGCTTCATTTGTTAAAGGCATCACCTCCTAAAGGCAGTTTCTAAGACAATTATGCTGTGGGGGAAGTTACAGTCTGCCATTAGTTCAGTTGTTTTAGCTTCTTTTGGTGGGAGAAGAAAGATGGTGGCTAAGGAAAGGTCCTAGGTGCTGGTTGGTAATGTAACTTGTTATACACAAATATAAAAACCAATCAATTCCTGGTGGAGCAAACAATAAAAAAACAACAACAAAACTTACATTATCAATGTTGTTTCTGGGCTATGCACAGCTAGCTATAAAATCTCTGAGCAAAAGGCTCACTTTCAGTGTTATAGAACTTGGCTTCCTTGTCCTAAATAATAGGACTCGATTGGGAAGTTAAAAAGTCTAATCAAAATAGAACTTCAAATTATGTTTGTATATCATTATTTTTTACCTTTTGCTTTTTAACAGAATTTTTAAAACTTCACTAACGTCTACAAAAACTTACTGTACAAGGAGAACAACTTAGTCCAGAGTGTCAGTAAGAATTTTAAATGTTATGATTTAAAAAAAGAGAACAAGAGTGGGATTTTGAAAAACAAAAAACAAAAACAAAAAAACAACAACCACCCACTGACTTATGAGAGTGAAACTAATCAGAAATGATCACTTCATAGGAAGAGGTGACTCGATTTGTAAATGTTGACATTCACGCTCTCAGGAAAATTTCACTTGAGAGTGAACAGAATATAAATGTGGCTGAACCACTTTGATACTGTACTATTTTGTGGGAATTTACTACTTGGGAATTTATGCTTGCTGATGCCAATTTTCTCTTTCACCTTGCAAAGATCAATAAATCGTGGCCGCTTTCTATACTCTATTAGAGAGCAATCCTGTCATTTTAAACTATGTCTGTAAACCATGGAGAAAAGACAATAGCAGAAGCCCTCATTTTTAAGGCTTTCAAACCACTGAGAATTTTTTTAAGATAATGAAAATTAGCAATTCATTAGTGTAATCTGAACAATAGGAAATATATTAATTATTTTAATAGTTACATAGCAACTAGTGAATTTCTGCTTCGTGTTCAATATTGTATAAATACTCGGTAACAGCAATATATATAGTTTTGGAAAAACAAAGCCTTTAAAAAAAAGTTTCATATTTCTAAATGTTGTTTTTTATCATAACTGACCAAAGTCTACAATATGGAAAACTCTGCTTACTGCTTTTGCTCTTAATGTTCCCATTTGGAATTTTATCACTTTTCATTTTCTCTTTGATAATTAAACTCACTATGGTAGCTACTGGTTTTTACTTCACTGTATGTATTTTATGCAATTGGTTTTTCTACTCTTCTTTATTAGCTGGTATTTGGATTTAGAACTTTCATATGCACTTACCCAACACAAAGATTCATTTTAGAATGGCAAGTGATTCTTTCATAATAGTTTGGATAGGGAAATCATATGAAGAATGCCAAAGTATGCATCACTCTGCTTCAGAATTACCCTGACCTAGTGATACTCAAGATAAGACACAGAATGGAAAAGTCTACTTCTGGCAATAATAAAGAAGGAAATTTTAATATACAGTGTAAATATACCATCTTAAACGAAGCTTTAGTTTTTACCATTTATTCATTTATATCCACAAAAATGAAAATGTGATCTAAAGATCCATATGCATGCTAATGCTTTAATCCTGTTGTCAACACCAATTCTGGGTCCAGAAAATTACTTTAGAGGATAACAGGAAAACAAGCTACTAGTAACTAGTTTTAGTTTTTCAGCTGTAAGTGACTCACAGTCTAGTACTGGCTGTTATACAGATGTACAGCTCTGCATACCTTCGTATATACTATCAGTCTGATTATGAGTTTATACAGATATGCCTTATCATCTTATAGACATTCAATTTTAAAATGTAAATGGCACAAGATATTGATAAACCAATTAGCACTGATGCAAAGCAAATTCCTCTTTTATCTCAATTACAACATGACAACTTAATAGGTCAAGATAGTTTAACATCTGAGACAAGGCCAATTCAATAAAACAACAGCATCTTGATATGGTAATTAAGAGGAAGTGTGAATCCATTACTGTGGTTTAAAAAGTACCTCAAATATTTGGCTCTTTTCATTGCTTTTACCAAATTTTGTGATATAAAATATTATTGCAATTTGTGAAATATTTGATTCCCAGTATGGGGAATAGGAAGAAAGTATCTTTCTGATTAAGCATTTTCTGACGTAAAAATAAATATTTATTGTATTCATGAAGTATAAAACATTCAAAAAATTAATTAGGAGGTTAATCATTTGTAGCATTTCCTAGTCCAAAAGATTAGAGGCTAAAATTAAGACATTAACCTTAAGCATTCTAAAAACATGATCATCCACGAGAAAACCGGAATTCTTGAATCACTTGGAGCAAAGTATGAATGCCATATATCCTTAATACAAAGTAGCTGAATCACCAGCGGGAGACAAGGAAAGTTTCACAGAGATGGATTGCAACTTCCTATGAAGGCCATCCAGCTTAGCTTATCCAAGAACAATGAAGAGCCTTTCTTGTGCCAATTTGGGGGCTACATTTAAAACGTGTGCATAAAATCAGTCATGTGCTAGCACAACACTTGAACTCACTATACACTAAAAATAAACGTGTGGTACACAAATTTATCCCTAACTGCAAGTGTATTTAAATTTTCTAGTAAAAGTGGTTCTTGCATTTCAACATAAAAGAAACGCGGCACCACATAAAAAGAACAATGTAAGTTCACGTGCACAGCACAATATACTTTATGACTCTGGCAATGAACAGTTATGTTCTCCAGGGTCCAAATGCTCATCAAATAAGCAAAGTCTATTAAAGTTCAATAGTGAAATACTTTCAAAAAACTTCCTAGATCGACTCATTTATCTACGAACATAATTTTTTCAATGTCAGACAATCAAACAAGAAACTCATAGAAACGGTTAGTGTATGAAATACTATCCAACAAACCTGATTCCGAGATTCATAGCTTCAGCAGTTCCAATCATACTAATAGCTAGCAGCATGTTGTTGCAGATCTTTGCAGCCTGAAAATAAATCGAAAACATGGTGAATATCTATTTTCAAGTCACAACTCAAAGGAAGTTTTATTCACCCAATTCCATAGGCATCTTTGTAAAAGTCCAGCATTCAACTGCTTATCCTCTCAAACGGGGAAAGGAGTCTAAACTAACCTACTATATCACAGAGCAGACTTGGGGGAGGGGGCCTCTTCTTTGCAGTAAGTAATAAACCCTCAGCAGTCCCCAAGCTCCCACTGTGGCTTAGGGAATACGGATCTAAGTGGAGTAACTGTTCTTTAAGGAATGCAGCTTACAATCATAGTGGGGAGATGGGAGTAATACACTAAATGACAAGACAACAAACAGAGAAAAGCACACAATGAAGCAGTAAACGATATGGGAGAGACAGTAGGCATTCAGGGAAATAAAATTGTAAGGGCACAGGCAGGAAAATATGTGGTTTTTTTTAGAGGAGGTGGAACCTGAAACCATCTCCCATTAAGCCAGGCAGGATTTAGGTAGGCAAGAAAGAGGAAAAAATGAAATGGGAGGAGGGGGAGTGGAGTAGAATACCAGAGGGAATAAATATATAAGTGCATAGGATGTTTCTGAGAACAGTGAAAATGGACTTCTGTGTGTATGTTTTAAGGAACGGTGAGAAATTTGCTAGTTAAGACTGGGTTGAGAACTATAAAAGCTAGAGTGAAGAGTTAAAATTTACCACAGTAGGCAATAGAGATCTGTTCAAAATTTCTGAGTGGGGAAGTGCTATCATCATACAAGCATGGTGAAGAAGCTGATTTTGGTAACAATGTGAAGGCAGAGTGGTAAACTTCAATCCAAAGATCCACCAGGCCCATCTGCGCAACAGACCAGGTGTGAGATGATGTGAGAAAGGCTAGATCAGGGAAAGTATAAAATGAACATCAGGGAAAGTGTAGAATGAACAACTTGGTCAACAGTGAGAGCCAATGAGTCAACCAGGACAATACCAGAGTCTTGAGAGAGAGACAGGGGATGCCAGCGGTCAGTACGAAGCATTACGAGTAAGTGTGTGTGTGCTGGAGGTGAAAGGTGGAGGACATCTAATTGGATTTCAGACATACTAAACGTGTTCAGTATAGTCAATCACCTTGTTCTGAGTTTCTAAATGAAAATTATTTTGTTTTCAAGAAAAAGATTTAAAGTGAAGAGGTTAATTGTACCTGGTTGTACTACAAAAAGTGAAGAGGTTAATTGTACCTGGTTGTCCTACAAATAGAGCTGTAGAAATGGAAGAAAGTGGCACTCCAGAAAACCCGAGCATTTCCAACAGAAGCAGTTTTAAGGATGATTTCAGTTGGCACTAAAATGACATGTCAAGACCTTAATTATGGCACTTTTGGTATATCTTACAGAAAAATAGGAGTCCTGGTGGGGCGCTGCAGGATAAGCACTAGACCACAAGGTTGATTTGAACTCCCAGGTGGTGGTTCAAACCCACCAGCCACTCCTCAGAAACCCTATATACAGTGTCACTATGAGTCAGAACTGACTTGATGGCACTAACAACAACAGCATTTTAAAACAAGCAAATTGGCTTCGGTCACCAGTGATACAGATACAAATTTATTCCAAATGTATTTAACAACATCTCAGTAAACAAAGATCCACAGATTGAATGGAGTAAAGAGAAATTAACAGTGTGTAGGTGTATGCCATCAAATTGGTTCTGACTTATAGCGAGCCTGTATAGGGTTTCAGAGGCTATAAATCTTTACAGGAGCAGAAAGCCTCATCTTTCTCTGGTGGAGTGGCTGGCAGTTTGATCTACTGACCTTGTACTTAGCAGCCCAACTCATAACCCAACACACTACCAAAGCTCTGTAAGAGTGTGGTTAGGCAAGATAAATGAACATTAGCCAATTTTACATCATCCAGTCACGGTCATTGACGTGAAAAGATTACCTGTCCGGTCCCAACAGCTCCGCAATACAACACATTGGAGCCCATGCATCCCAGCAACTCTTGGGCAGCAGCAAATTCCTCTTGGACTCCTCCCACCATAAACGTGAGGTTCCCGGACCGAGCAGCTCCCACACCTGAATGATTTGGGTAAAAGGGATGAAGCAGTGGGATATATTTTTTAAAGAGTTGAAACAGATGGGAAATAAAATTAGAGAAAATCTCAAAACTAAAAAAATACCATACGATTCAGCAATCCCAATGCTTGGTATATATCTTAGAGAAATAGGAGCCATGACAGGTATAGATATATGTATGCCCATATTCATCACAGTGCTATTCACAAAAGCAACCAAGATGGAAACAACCTCTACGTCCATCAATGGATAAGCAAACTATATAGCACACAATGGAATACTCCGCAAGGTTAAAAATAACGATGAATCTGTGGAACACCTTATAACATGGATGATGCTGGAAGACATTAGTGGTGGTGGTAGTTGTGTGCTGTGGAGTCGGTTCCGACTCACCGAGACCCTGTATAGGGATTCCAAGACTGTAAATTCTTTACAGGAGCAGAAAGCTTCATGTTTCTCCCACAGAGCTGCTGATAGATTCAGACTGTTGAACTTGCGGTTAGGAGCTCAACTTGTAACCCTCTACGATACTAGAGCTCCTCTGGAAGACATTATGCTGAGTGAAATAAGTCACTCACAAAAGGACAAATGCTGTATGAGACTACTCGTATTATTAAAAAGTTAAGAACGGTTCTTACACTAAAAGAAACAAACTTTGATGGCTATGAGGGGTAGAAGAAGAAGTCATTAAGGAAGGTCATTAACTAGAAAGTAGACACATATTAACTGCGGTGAAGTGGACGGGGGTGGGGGAGGAATGAAAAGTATAATCAATGCCACTGAATTATGTTTGTAAAAACTGATGAATTAACAAATGTTTTGTTGTAAAAAAATACATTAAAGCATTAAAGGATACTTGGAATATTATAATGTCTTGTACAATTAAATTTTTTAAGAAGAATATGCAGAATCTATTAGACGAAAGATGCATGTTTCAGAAGACTTGGATGGTTAAATGTCACACTTTGAATAGCAAATTTAGTTTCTGAGCATCCTAACAGCCAAAGAAAAAAGTGAGATAAATTAACTTACAGTATCTCGTTATAGAAATTAAAACTATTTTATCTTGACAAAGTAACCTTTTAAACACCAAAATTCTAAAAGGAATTTACCGCCTAGATCCATCTGTATTAACATGCCTAAATGAGAACATTTAGTCTCCAGATTGCATTATGTCAGGCATGTGTACAATAGTCTATTATGCATAGTTCCAAAATCAGGTACCACAAAGGCTAATCATAAACCAAAAGTGGCATATAGATTTAGTCATACCTTCATTTTCTATTCATCTTAAATACCCTGATGCAAACATGGCACAATATACAAGGAAATCTGAACCATGAATTTTATTCCCGCACATCTATTATTCTCCTTAGAAACATATTCAGTAATAAAGAGTATACAAACAAGAAAAGTTTTAACTATGCCCTGACCAGCACAGGAGCAGCATGAGGGGTCTACAGCTTGAGTCTGGCTTTGGGTTCTCTGGCTCACTTCCACTCCCTGCACACTATCTACAAATGAGATCTAAGGGGATAAATAAAAAATTATTCACACTCTGAATTTATTTTAACCAACTTTTAGAAAAGACAAATACATCATTTTCAATATCATCGTCTTGTTTTTCAATACACTTTGTCCATCTGTCAATAAGCCTTCGTATTCCCTTATTAAAAAATGTTTCAGGCTGAGCTGCAAGCCACGAATGCACTGCTGCCTTCACTTCATCAGAGATGAATCTTTGTCCTTGAAGGGCTGCTTTCAAGGAACCAAACAGGTGAAAGTCCCATGGAGAAAGATCAGGACTATATAGAGGATGCTTTAATACCTCAAAACAAAGTTTTTGCAGAGTGTCAACAGTGTGGGCAGAGGTATGCAGACGTGGCATTGTCATGTAAGATCACAAAGCCCTTGGATAGCAGTCCTCTGTGTTTAAATCGAAGTTTAGGCTTCAGCTCTTCAGTGAGCATCTCACTGTAATGAGCACTGTTGATTGTTGAACCTTCTTCCTGATAGTACTCCAATACTGGTTTTCTTGAGAGTCTCAGGAACCTATATCAATTTTCCAGATGGCTGACTGTTTAACTTTTTCTTGGTTGGCGATTGAGGGTGTTTCCATTCCACACTCGGCCATTTACTCTCAGGCTCGTAGTAATGATTCCATGTCTTGTCATCAGTAATGACTTTTTAAAAGCAATTTTTACCTTCCTTCAAGTATCGGTCCACATTTTGTTTGCAGATGTCCAAACGCTTCTGTTTATGCTCTTCCGTGAGTTGTTTTGGTACCCATCTCACAGGATCTTTTTTTTTAATGTTTTATTGTGAATTATATGATAGTTTACATAAGAGAACTTTAGTTTTACATTCATTCTATCATATATCGTTTCATTGCCATGGTTCCAATCCCCTCCATGCATCATCAACCGACCAAAGGGTATACCCTACAAACCCGCCCCCTACACTCTTCCCACCCCCCCACCCCCCCACCCCCCCGCAAGTCTTCAGCACACAGTCCCATTCCCGCTCTGGATCCAAAGTCCTCAGCCACTTCATCACTCCACGTCATCGTCTCTGCTTCTATCTCGGGCCTCGCTGCTTCTGGGTAGGGTCCCATTCTCTGCTCTTCTCTGTTGATGGTCCTAGAGACCTCCACTCCTAGACTGGAGAGTTAATCACTCCCTTCCTTGATATAAAACGTCTACCTTTACATTTCCAACCCTCACAATCAGTCCTGATAACAATTATTCACTATTGTATCACAAGTGACCCATCTGCGTTTCATTTCATCAGCTCCGCCTAGACAGATTGGATAGTACTCACTGGAGATTCTGCCTTCCTCCATGCCCCTGGCTCTAGGTCCCCTCTTGAAAGCTTGTAAGCCAGTCATCACTTCTTGCCTTAGTAGTTCCCCCCCACCCCCACCCCCCGACCATTTTGGGTATCCAATGTCCAAGTTGCCCATCTCTGTTTACTCTGTGTGTGGAGGGGGTGGGAATGATTCTTGCTGTAAGGATTTGTTCCCTCTTTTGAGTTACTGCATCCATAGGTGTAGGTCAAGTTCATCAAACTGTATCAGATTACTCTTTTTTTCCTCTTCTTTCTTCTCCTGGTTGAGCTCTGATCATCCAGTCATCGAAGGAAGCCAGGTCAAGTGGTTACCATCTGCAAGTGTGGGTGTTCTGTGCATATGCCCTCTCTTCCTATCGGCTGGTAGCTTCACTCTCCACTCTAGTCCTCTGTGGCCATGCCACTGACTCTGGGGCCAAGAGTCCCCAGGTCTCCGCATACTGCTGGCCAACCAGGTCTCCATCCGGGTCCACAGAAGCCCACCGAACATTGTAGGGCTTAGCTTGCTGCTTCATTGCTGCTTTTACCTCTCTTCCCCCTATCGGTGATGAGTGTCACACGAACTTTTGAAACCCAAGTCTGTCGTGGATTTTCATAGGCAGAGTCATGGCTGATTTGCAAATGATTTACAACATAATCTACTGTCACTCGTATATTCAATAGAATCATTTCACGTGCATGCTCAATGTTGTCATCAGCCGTTGACGAGGACGGGTGTCTTGATATAACCAGAGTGTGGATAATTTCTGACTCACTCTTGTACAAAGAATAAGACCTGACTATCCATACTTAAGTATGAACTTCATAAGGTTCTTTCTTTTTAAGGTAAAGGAAAGTGTTACTGGTTTAGACTGATTACTGATTACTTTGATTTGTACTTTCTCTATCATTTGATATTTGTTCTTTTCCCTCCAGCTACCCACCTTTGGAGTCCTGGTCTGGCGCTGTAGGATAAGCGCTCAACCACAAGTAAGGTTAGTTTCAACCGTAAGGTTCTTGGAAACCCTGTAGAGGGTCGTTATGTGTCTGACTCAACAGCACTTAACAACAACAACATACACCTTTTAGGTAATTAATTCCTATGGATAGGACCAAGAAGAATAAGTAAGCATTGGTCTGGCTACTCCTTACTAGCTTTTAACAATGGTTTGATGTGTGTTCATTGATTTAAAAGATTTGAGAAATAATTTCTAATTTAGCACAGAAAATACAGCCTAGATATGTCCCAAAGGAAGGAGAGGAGAAAGGGGGAAATATGATTCATTCTTCTAAATTTCTATGAACTCAAAATGGAGCCAAGAGTAATATTACTCTTAATATTTGAGGGATCTTAATTCATAATTTTCAAGTTAGGTTTTGTTGTTTGAAACCAGAAAAGTATGTGGAAGAACTATATTCATATAATTTTTGTCTTTATAATTTATTTTACAGTATAGCCAGAATAAAGAAACCATAATTGTCTGTACTATGTATCAAGCCTAGCCCATTAGAATAGACAGCTGTAAGTAATGGCCTACTTTTGAATTTAATATATTCATAGAAATACAGTTTTTATATGTAAAAAGCCCAAGTGAGAAGATCCACATTTCATTAAAATTGTGAATATTCTGCTATTGGAAAATCAAGTAGCCTTTCTATCTTACAGTTCATACTATTTTTAACCAATTATTAAAAACAGAAGTCAGCGTTATGTTAGCCAAACAATCATGGACGAGAGAGAGGCCATGTGAGATGCTCACACAAATGGTTAAATCACATTTTCTCAAAGTATCTTCAGATACTTTGAAATTGATTATATACCAAAACCCATTCTAACAAGAGCTTTTAATTAGTCAGTCTGTGTCATTTGAACATTCTGATACTGTTGCAGCTTAAACGACTGTCATTTTGTTAGCTTCTAATTTCCTTCGCTAAAATGGCGAGTCATTAATGCTTTACAATTATTTTGCCCATTTTCTATTTTTAATCAAACCACATAACCACCCTTACTCCTAATCCTGTTGATCTGACCTAGAGAAACTAAGTAGACAATTTAAGTCAAAGCTTACAAACAAATCCAGCACTATCCATCATAGGTCAATAGCTTTGTATCTAGATTACAGACACTAAATAGCTTCAGAGAGTCATTTATTAAAGGAAAATTAATGCTGACA